GTGCAAGATTAAAAAAAATGGTGTTACTGTACAGATGTGGTAAGAGACTGAAAACATGCTGCTGTTTGCACGTCTTTAATAATCATCTCTGCACAGGTCTCAGGACCTAGCTAAGGACGGTAGTTACGGATTAGCTTACAAACACATTTAACTTACCGAAAAAGTGCGGTGGGGCCTCGGATCTGTCTATCCGGTAGTCCAGACTGAAGACCACCTCAGGCTGTCAGGTTAAAACAGTCGGTTGTGGTTTTGTAACGTAGACGCTGGAGCTCCTCTCGGCGTCCCTGCTCTATCTGCCTTTCCCGAACAGAGATGCGCAAGTTTATCTGTGACTGCAGCTGCCAGTCAAAGCTGTTATGATGACGTTGCACCCCAATATAAAAGCATTATGGTAGTAATTAGAATCAATCTTATGGGAAAGGAGACCCCTTGAACATAAATCAGGGTGATGAGAACAGTTGATAATGAAAGAAAGAATCTTTGGAAAAAATTATCTGGGAATTTATCGGAGAATGTTTTTTATTTTTATTTTAGTCTGACCCCAGTCCCCATCCATACCCATCCGCTAACATGGATCAGGCGGGGTTTCTGACCTATACTGCAGCCAGACACCAGGGGGCGATAGAGACGTTTTGTCTTAATTTTTGGGAAGCTTCTCGCGTCGTCCATGTTTTCTACAGTCATTGGTAAGCACAAGCAATTGCTTTTGTCAAATTGCCTATGCTGTTGAAATATCTAACAGACCAAAATATTTTGCAGTGGTGAATGATATTAGGAAAACCCGGAGTTATTATTTTGTAACTGCATTATAAGTAGCAGATAATAAGGGATGCAATTGAGCTGCAGTTAAAGAGGTTAATGTTTACAACCATACCCAAGCTGCCCCCCCTGCCTTTGGCCACACAGCTGTGTAAATAAATTTGGCAAGGTGGCTTTTGGTCTGACTGTAGACTGAGTTAAAATCACAGTTGCACAGGCACTGGGTGACTGATCCCCATTTCCTGGACAGTAAAAGCAGGGTTTCCTTTCTTGAGGTTAGTCAACTCAGATTTTAGGGTAAGTTAAAGAAGTTGTTATCTATATTATGATAAAAGCCTACATGAATAATGCTGCAGTTTCCCAGACATGGATTAAGCGTTCAAGCGATCTTCTTCTGCTCAATGTTCCATTTGCCAGAACTGAACTGGGAAAAAGGGCTTTTACTTATGCTGCCCCTTCCACATGGAATATGATGCAAAAAGACTGGAAGATAGCAGAACTTATTTCATTAAATGCTTTTAAGTCCAGATTGAGAGAGCCAGAGAAAAATGTTTTTTAAAATGTAATTGT